GTAGCTCTGGGGCGCCGTGGCTACGTGCGCCTCCAGCGTGAGCTCCGCCCTTCCGTCCTCGTCTAGTGCTAGTGCCTGTGCTGGGTGCTGAGCGTACCTGTTGACGCGGGGCCCGAGGGGTATGCGCTCGTAGCCCGCGGGCGCCGTGGCCACGTGCGCCTCCAGCGTAGCTTAGCCCAGGCGTCCTCGTCTAGTGCTAGTGCCTGTGCTGGGGGCTGAGCGTACCTAGTGACGCCGGGGCCGAGGGGGAGGCGCTCGTAGCCCGCGGGCGCCGTGGCCACGTGCGCCTCCAGCGTGAGCTCCGCCCAGGCGTCCGCGCCGTCGCCGTGGCCGTCCTCTCGCGTGGTGAGGCGCGCGTCGAGGCTGAGGCGCGGGCGCTGCGCGGAGGCGAGGCTGCTGCCGGCGGCGGCGGAGGCGGTGACGTGCCAGTGGCCAGTGTCGTTGCGCGCCGCCCGCGCTGACGCCAGGAGCTGCGCCGCGCCGCCCAGGCACCCCGCCGCCCCCGCGCGCTGCTCACACGCCCGACACCAAGCAAAGAGACTTAGGACAAGTAATTTAATATAGGAATACAAAATTATAATAATAATAACAATAATAATAATAATAATAATAATATAGTTCTTATTAATTTTTTGTTATGTATGGTGCCTTACGTTTTTACGTTATGCTGAATAACATAAATAATTTTCCATATCTCTGAAACATACATGCGCGTTGCTAGTTGAATTAAAACATTTAAAATTAATTTTCAGAATCATGTTTTAGTGTGGCTTCGCAGTGAATAGTGATTGCATTTTTTGTAAAGTTTACCCCTCGTGTATCATTAGTCTACGACTTACGTTTTTAGGGCTTTATCAACCATGTTTATTCTTTTTGATTGAATACATCCTTATAAATCCATCAATTTTAGATGTTGAAATAATTTTGCGCAAGTTTATTTTAAAATCTGAGAAATTGTTGGCAATGACACGAAGAAAAGTCTCGGTATGGTGCGCATTAGTAGCAGATTGATGTTGGCTCAGTTTGGTTTGGAGTATTTCAAGTGATGACTGCAATAACCACTAGCAACAATACTAGAAAATATGTGTTCTAGTAGCTTCAATTGTTGTTTTATCGAAGGAGACACAGCAGGACCTATTCTAATTGATTGAAAATAATGTAGTGGAATGTACACTTAAATATACAGTTTCAAATGATACTGAAAATAATATGACACGATTTTGGAACAATTTCAGCTTTTTTAATGACTTTTATGCATGTACTGAATGAGCAACAATTGTAAAAAGAGGTTTAATCGAATTAAATACTGCAGTCATCAAAAATAATCGTAATTTCTGTGAAACTGTGTAAACATTTTTACATTTGTCAAAGATGCTTACTCTCTTAAGACAATAAAACTCCAGTTCATCGATCTGCGAAGATAAAGAAATATTCTGTTACTAAATAAATATGGTTACTTTCGGTTAATGTTTGCATAAAAATTCATGAAAAATAAGCGAATGCACCAAAACAGTGGTTTACAAAACAGAGTAAGCGTTTGGAAACTATTCTTCCAGTTCCCCTGAAAAGAAATTTTGAACTATTCTACTGTGAACTTTTATGTCATAAACACCATTTAATGATATTTGAAATATTTTCAGCTTATGTTTATTACATTTGGAATAATTGTACACTTAATTATTTAATATTCCTTTTTATGTTTCCTTTAAGATATGCCATTTTACTAAGGAGATACTTGTTGCAGCTAATTTCGTTGGAAATGATATTTATTACCAAAGCATTTTTCTCTCTAGTTTCTAAATGTTTTTTACTTCTATTCTTGTGCTTGACTTACCTCATCTGCGACCAAAAATAGCAAAATAAATAAAAGAGAAACAGACATAATGGTAACACACATTTTGACCATCTGGCAATGTGTATAATCTCTTCGTATTTATAAGCCAAATGCATACTTCTTTTTATGAATATATATTACGAAACGTGTTATTCACCCACTTTTGGTCTCGTTTAAACATCAGTAGGTTAGAAGATATCAGTATCTCAATTTTTTTGTTGTGTAAACGATAGATTTGCTTTTGTACGTTCTACTTCGCAAACAATCTCTAATGACTTTGTAGATAGAAGGTCAGAAACATGAAAATTGCAGTCATTAGACTACGAAAATACGCTTGGGTAAAAAATTATTAGATTATAAATAATTTATAATTTCTGTCACTATAAATAACAAGTTAAAAAAGTAAACATTTTTATAATAATTATAAAAGTACTCTAATGATATTACAATTAATTTTTAATTAATTGAAGTTGATAGAGAATTTTATTCACTTAGCTTCTTTATTCTTTAGCGGAGTATGCAATGGTGAGGGGAAAAAATTCTAACTTCATTCAAACTCATCTGCCTACCAGCAGTAACTAATGATATTTTTTTCATTAATGTAATTGAGTAGTAAAAGATATTTACTCTGTTATGGTGTACTTTTAGTATTTCTGTAAATTATATTAGTATTAAATTTATTGAAAATGTTTCGTTGAAGCTTTTATGTGGAAAAATGAATGAGAAAATTAGCAATTTAAAATGAATTTAAATATTGAATAAATACACTAACAACAGGAAACGAACTTGTAAACATTCCTAATTGTTTTGCTTCGAAAGTATTTATGAACTTACATCAGAAACATAAATGAAGGCGTCGTACATTTTGAACGATTGGATTCATGCTATATTGTTTTTAATAATTTGTGATTTAATTGATTTGTGTCCCTTTTATATGCTTTTGTAATGATGCGTTTTAATATTTTAATAATTTCATTTGCTAAATAGGTACGTGTTTTAGAAATTAAACGGAACATTTTGAATTCATTTTCTTGGAATAATTATCTTATATGTAATCATTTCAAGAATTTGTGATATAAATAAATTTTTTCATGAACTGGTATGTGAGAGTTTTAATAAGAAATCTTTAACTCCTTTTTTTGCGATTTAATTGTTTTATTTGAATTCAATAACGCATTTATTCATGAGATTGACCTGCTGAATATCAATCGTATGTGAGGCATCATACTTAACACAAAAATGTGTTCCTGATGGTAGTATTTGACATAGAAAAATAGTTATTTTTTGAAATGTTTCGTTTCCTTTGAGACGAGGGCTATTCACAATGTTCTCCTCTGCCACCAAACCAGCAGTCGAGGAACAATCAGTCTCACTCACCTCGTTCGTTGCATCTCCGCCATCTCTCCTAGGCCGGTGAAGCCATCCATCTCCCGGCTCTCCCTTTTCCCCTTTGAAGCCCATCTCTCCTTTGAGCCCTTCACCCGGGAAGCCGCGTTCACCCTTAGGGCCAGGGGGCCCTACCAGCCCGACGCAATGGCCAGAGCTGGGGTCCACAGTGCATATGCCGGGTTCTCCTTTCATTCCGGGAATCCCTGGGGCTCCAGGGTAACCCTGTACAAATCGAATATAACAAACCCAGTATTAGCGGTATAAACGTCGGCGTCCAGCTTAGGATTAAATGGAATAACATATAAATAAATATGTGCGCATATATGGACTAACAAATTTCGAAATATGGAGTAAACTATGTAATTGCACCGCCGTGCGCCCTGCCCGCGCCTCCCGCCTCGCGCAGCCGGCCTTCCCGGCCTATTCGTCCCCCCCGTTGCCTCCGCGATCTCCGCTGGGCGCACGCCCTCGTCGCGCGCCGCTCCCTCGCTCCCTCGCTCCTCCAGCTTCTCTCGCTCATTCTGCCTCTGTCTCTCGTTCCTGTCCGTCCGCCGCGAGCTGGCCAAGGGCGTCAACTGATGTCAGTGCCGTGCACCTGACTCGAAGGTTCCAGGTTCGAGTCACGGCGGTGGCAGGATTTTCGACACTAGATAGATCAAATTCAGTTGAAGAATTTCAGCGGTCAAGTGCTCTGATTGTTAGTTTTCTGTGGTTTCTCCATTCTATACCCGGCGAATATCGGTGCAGTACCCTAACAAACGGGCTACAGACCGCGCGCTATCTTTCTTTTTCTCTTCCTTGTCCTATCCTCTTCCCTTACACCCACCCGCTCCCAGAATCACCAACAATCAATCAATCGACAACGATGAGGGCATCAGACATGGTGCAGCTGGTGGACGACATTATTCTCCGCAATCGCAGGTTGAGCGTCGCACATTTTGCACAGGAATTGCGAATATCCGTTGCCAGTGATCACTCGATCGTTCCGCATCAACTGAGTCGTCGCAAATTGTGTTCACAGTGGATATTTTATTCTTTGTGGGCCGAGCAGGAAACGAGAAATGTTTGCGGCTTGACTGGAATGCCTTCAACGTTATTGTATGGAAGGCAATGGTTTCTTAAGCAGCATCATTACAGGAGTTCAGACGTGGTGGAATTGCTTCACGCAAGGAAAAAGGCAAGCGTCGACGGAATAGACACAGATCATCTCCTGTGAGAACACAGGCATCAGATGGAAAAGGAATTGCTATTGTTTTTTACTTGCTCTCACTCACTCTGAAAGAAGAGAAAGTATTTTAATTTGGCGCTAGAAAACTCCGAATCTTCGGCAGAAAACTTACTTCCGGGCCACGTCAACGAAAGAGTGGATACATTTTGTTCATATATTAAATTACTTCCCTTTAACACGTCGTGTGGTCAGAATCTCATATGTGAGTTTCTGATACCGAACAATCGACTGAGGGCAAAATGTCTGTCGGTTCTTCTGTCTCTATCCGTCCGTCTGTTGTTAAATCCAGCGCCTAATCCGTTCAGCTGATTTTCTTCAAAATTGATATTTCATGGTCGAACTGAATGAACAGGAGACTTGGAAAATTTCAAACGAATATTTTCATTTTTAAGGGTTCTTGACATAGATCCTCAAAATATTTTCAAAATTTTCGCAAAAATGTCCCCAAATTTTCTGAATACATTTTGTTCTTGGAAAGCGTGGAGAAAGCGTAAGAGAATGGCGTAAGTCTCATTTTTGTTGAAATAGCTGATTTTTCGATCTGTGCAAAAGTTATTTTCTTTCGCCGAATTCTTACATGAAGATACATTTTTTCTAAAAACTATTTTTTGAAGATAGACGTATTTTCTTTAAGAACTATTTTTAAAGACATCTTGAAGTAAAGTTATGTCGAATTTTACGAAAATATGAGTTGTTTTCCAGAAATTTTGCATGAACTATAGACATTTCTTATTAGTTTAAAAACAATTTTAAAGAACAAAATGGAGCCGTTTCTGAGGAAATAATTATTAAAAATTGCCAATGTGTGAAGCAAAATTAACACAGATAAGACTGAGTAAAAATTATTTTAATTTGAGTTTCTTATACTCAAACATGAACCTTATGATACATGGAACGTGTAAACTCAGTTTCGGTGTTTGCGCAATATTATTTCGAAAACATGGGTGACTTACATTTAGGACGTTAGTCACATACACAGTGTCTATTTATTATGATGCATGCTAGTTGATACAAGGATTCTTGAAATGATGAAAAAGCTCGTATGTGTTTTAATAAAATACACCAATAGTGTTAAATGCATGGCATTCACATGTTTGACCGCAATGATGCACTTCACATGTTAACCAACATCACATTTATGCATCTTGTGGTTTTTGAGTGACATTCTCTGAAACCAGCTTATCTGTCTTGATTGATTGCCCAATAATCTATCCTGTCAAATCTCGAGATTTTGTGCCCTGATTTTAAAGGTCTTCCTTTAAATTTGATCACTCTTCTACTTGTCTCTAACACTGACGAACAAAATCGTCGGCGAAATTCCAAATTGTTCAATTTTTCATTTCCCCTAAGTCGATACATGTATGTACTTCAAGTCGAAGAATGTAAGAATTTCTTGAGCTCCTGTCCACATTTTGTATCCGTACCTTATGGGCTTTCTCCAAATGAAGTGCTTGCATCCATGCTTACCCAAGCAAGGTACCATTGTTTCATTTATTGTCTTACCCTCTTCATGCGGTGCATTTTCTTGGGTGTGTTCAACACATCAAAAAGTGGTCTTATTTTCGCATACCTATCTGATGTGACTACGTCGTCGTTATCGTACGTATGCAGATTTGACCTCATTAATTTGAACCTCTCGCATTAGAGACCCCTCCTGCAAAATTCTTACGTTAGTGATCTAATTTCCCAATACATATTCCGCCTTTAAACATCTTTATAGCCATTTATCAAAATTGTTGCAATAATTAATTTCATCTCAGCTAGAGTCACATCACCTAACTTATGTTTTGCACCATATTGTTTTGTGTGACAATCATATCTAAAAGGTCATCATCAAGAAGGGAAAAATATTACTGACGGATTTTTTTGTTGTTGACAGTACGGTTCTTCAGCCCCAGCATTGCTGCCCGCCAAGAGATCACGCTTGCCCCAATGGTATGTCTTTTTCATCTTTTCTTTGGGAATTGTGTCACCACTTTTCGTTCTTTGTGTCACGCATTGCCACTTCTTCATGGTTCCTCTCTATTTCCAGACTGCTGGAAGTTTTATGGCAATTCTCACTGTCTACAAACAATTCTATTTCAGTTCCCGCTCTCAGTTGACTTCCTGTTAAATTTTCCAAGTGTGTGATATTTTCATTCCACGAATACTAATCGGGAATATCACAGCAAGCATTTGCTGGAGGAAAGGATGTAAGCGTATTTCGTTTCTAGCATTGACAACGCCATCATCTTCGTGGAGGAGCATTGCCAAACCTCATTGAGACTAAAACCCCTGTGTAAAAATTGATTGCCTGCGATATGTCATATTATTCTGGGGAAATACATATTATAGCTCACAGACTTTTAGATTACAAAAACGAATTGTACGAATAATAAGCAAATCCCACACACGTGATTCTTGTAAGCCTCTCTTTACTAATCTAGGTTTTCTTACCATTACCTTGTCTCTTAATATATTAATCAGTGGTTTTTTAGTTAAGGGCGGGAATATATTTTCAGCAAACGCCGTTGTCTGTAACTACAACACTTGACGTAGTAATCACATTCATCAGGTAACAGTATCAACAGCTCACTACAAAAAATTCACATATAATACATGTACATTATTTTTCACATTGCCATATGACATTAAACGATTAAATTCGATACAAAAGTTAAAGTCCCAAGTAAAATATTTTCTGCTACACAATTGTTTCTATACAATTAGAGACTATCCTGACCATCCAAAAGGTTAATATTAATTTTTGAAATGACATTTATTGTATTGTACATCATTTGGAATGTATAATAGTAAAGAACCTGTAACAAGTATTGTGCTTCAGCTTCGGGGTCAATGACCCCATCTCAATCAGGTTTTCGTCTAGTTTCCCTGATCTTCGAGCAAATGCTGAGATGGCCCCTTGCTTTGCTTCTGGACATAAATGTAACTTCAAATTAACTTCTCCCCATGGCACGTCATACACAGTTTTTAACTGTTTTTGACATAGATCAGACGCACAAACTCCCTGATGACTAATGTCCTACATGAAGTTCACCTACTTTATTCATTGGATAAATTTTATATTTTTATACAACGTATGTATGATGAAACATTTAAATATCTCCCACCAAAGTTGTTGGTACGTTACTAATAATTTCGCAACAGTGCTTTACATTACTTTCAAATACGATGTGTTAGCGATCTTCCATGATCTTACAGACATGCTGATTCTTATTTTCGCACTGATACATGCAGACGAGACCGCCAGTACTTGATCCCAAGATTAAGTGTATTAATAATATATTTTAGTATAATCAACTTCTCAATGGAAATTATATGAAACTACAAAAGTTTGAAAGTACAGATATGCGGTGACATACGTGTAGGTCAATAGAATCTGGGTTTAGCAAAAATACTCATATTTTCGAAAAATTGAACATGACTTTATTTGAAAATATTTTTTGATGAACCCTTTCTATTAGGAAAGTGTTCATCAAAATCTTCATAATTGTAGTTGCAGGAAGACAGCGAAAAAGTTTTGAAAATGTTCACTTTTCAAGAAGCATGGATATTAACGACATGAGATCTGCATCATTCCCTTAAAGGTACTTTATGCTATCCGAGATGAAAATTTTCTCAAAACATTTTGTGCGTTTTTTGAGAAAAAAATGGGGGGGAAAATTAAATGTGCTTACCTTTCACGCAAAAGTACCCGAAAAGTACTCAGTTGTTCATGATCTTATTTCAAAATCTATCTTTAAAGAAGATTTTGCATTTAGAGAGAAAATCTCAAGTATTTTAGATCTATAAAGATGCCGAAAAAGTATAAATTTTTGCAATTTCCAAAAAAATCAGTGGTTTTAACGAAGATCAGATCTACACCACTCTTTTAAGCGTCCAGAATATCAATTTTGAAGAAAACGAATTCAACGGTTTAGCCATCAGCGTATGCCACGGACGGGCAAATGAGTGGACAGACAGACATACAGAGAGATTAATTTTCCGATATCAATGACCCACAAAACATGGATTTTGTCTACACGACATGTTTCAGGTTTTTAGCTATATTTAGCAGTTGCATCTATCCATTTTTTTTGTTACCAGGAGTGGGCAATTAGTTTTTGAGTCAAAAATGTTATCCTGCAACATTACATAACTCTCTCCATGTTGCGTAAATAGCGGGAAAGTACAATACATTTTTGGTAAAATTTTGAATCACAATTTCACTAATTTTCTATTTTTGACCCCCCAAAAGTTTTCTTGTTAGATTTGAGAGCAAATACTACAGAAATTTTAGAATTTGGGAGGCACTTAGAAACATTAATTCTCTCAGTTTATAATTAATGTCTGCAAAGAAATTAAAGACTTTTGTAAATGGTGTATTACCCAAATTACATTTCAGTGGAAAAGTGTGTTGGCAATGTTATGCATTTTTACTCCAACAATTTTCTCTTCATAATAATTAACGACTTAAATTTTTTCATAATTTAAAACACGCAGGTTGTAGCCGTTGCCTTCGAACCAGTTACTCAAGTGTTTCCTATTTTTTATATTACCTCTAGTTTAGAGCTAATACACACTCGCAATTTCTCACTAATACTCACAGGCTGTCCTATAAATCCTGGAAGTCCTGCGTTTCCTTTTGGTCCAACCGGACCAGGTCTTCCCGGAATTCCCTTAATGAAAAACCATCAACAAAGTTATAAGCTATCTTATTAGTATGTGATTAGTAGGGGGCGGATTTTGATGACCTAAAAAATCAACAAAAATGATCCTAAATGTTTTTAAAATGCCCTAAAAGCAAAGAAAAATGACGTAAATTTTTTATCAAAACAGTCCACATGAACAATTGGAGCTTTTGGATATGTTATTGATGTAATTGATGCTTCTTTTCGTTCAAGTAAACTCAGCGTCAAAAAATTTGGTTTTGGCTATTCTATATTAAGATTTCCTTGACTTTATTGATCGCGAAATCAGTCAAATAGACAATGGCGCGATATGTATCGCAAGAACCTTATATTACATACTCACACGGCTGATCTTGCAATTTTGTTGCATCTGGCCAATAGTATTTGAAACAAAAACCATTAAAATTATAGTATAATTAATGTAATCAGCGAAAAATGTTTTAAAAATGACGGAAAAGGGTAAAACGTTACATAGACGAAATTGAAAAATGCAAAACGGGTCATATAAAAATCGGTGATTTCCTTTTGTCATAAAAAGGAAGTGTATACTAAAAGGCATTTTTCTTAAGTAAAAAAAGTGACATTTTAATTAAAATCCACCCCCTAGCAATTGTATGTAATAATAGTATTTGTTTCTTTAAAACATATTTTACAATTCATTGTCTAAATCAATGAAAGGAATGACTCATTGTAATCGTTTATCGACTTTAAGAAACGGCAGCCACATTGATTCACATCGTACCAGTGTTTTGTTTACTTCAAATACCTTCAGAAAAATGTATACAGCTATATTTGATAATAAAAATATATTATCTATTCTCAACAGAATATTTACATATATTTTCGTAATTACTTTGAAATATAAAAAATAATTCATTAGTGTGAATTTTTATATGTCCATTTGAACTCAAAAACACATGTGTAAAATTAATGTAGATGCCTTCATCACTGCATTCTCTCATTTATATTCCCCACGATGATGTGGCAACTTCATTCAGAAAGCTCTGACATTTTCTTCGGCCTTGGCCTCAATATATCCTCACCGAGTCCCCCTTCCGGCCAGGCATCCCAGGCGCTCCCGGAGGACCAGGAAAGCCCATATCTCCTTTCTGCCCGGGCAGACCCGGAAGTCCCTGCAATGGAGAATCATCAGCAACATGTTTCGTATTCGTTGTTTTAGATTAAACATGTACCAGCATAAAACGTACGTGAGTTCTGTTTATTTACGTCAGTATTTTGCATTACGTTCTCTACAAGAATGGATAAGTACAGGAAACATTGTAATTAATTATTAATATAGTTGGAGCCGATCTCCTTTCAATTGAGTGCTAGGTAATAAGGAACCCATCAAAATCATGTACATATGCTTAGATTGAGAAAATAATATTATGTGTCTTAACAACAAAATTGTTGGCAATTTAGCAATAGGAATACAGCAATTTTGAAGTTCCTCGAGGTCCAATCTGAGGAGGCATGCCGAGTTAGAGCAGTAATGGAAGACCGTCAACAAAGATTTTTCCTCGCGTGTTTTATATTATTTGAAATCGATCACATCACATGGTTGAAAGTATTTAATTGAATCAGTGGGCCCTAGATGTCGTTTATCTCCATTGAAATAATAACTGCTCATCTGGTGTGTGTCTGAGGTGTCTTAACGGTCCCTGAAAACTTGTACAAATCATACCTTTTTCCAAATGCTATATACAGCTTTTAAGTGTTTTTGACGATGGATAAATAAATACAATAAAGAGTAACTCCCCGGAGTAAATAAAAAATCATAAAAAAGCATATTGTATGTGCCATCATTCGAGCTACGAGATGCACACACGGGAATTCTTATATACACTATATTCTGTGTGTAGAATTTTAATTTTACACTTATAATTAAAAGAAAATTACACTCTTTAATATATACATGACTCTAACAAACTCTTACACACACACATGCACGCATACTTACACTTTATGGTCGACGCTACCACCCATGACCAGAGGAACCACTGAGGAACTGAGCTTGTCCAGATTGGGGGACGCACTTAAGTGACGCAACCGGGATAAAAAAATACACTCAAATGTCACAAAATTAGTTTGTGATGATGAGTAATCTTTAACTAAGTTTCTGGATGCTACATATTGTTGTTGAAATATTACCAATCATTTAAACAATTTTAAGTTTATATTCTCTCTCGTTTGGCGCAGTTAATTATATTTTCTCTAGTGACGCGCAGTTTTCTATGGATTTACAAGCGCCAATTGGAAACATTTCATGATAGTTTTAACTTCATTTGCACCTCATGATCGCCTCTACAACAACTAAAGAAAGGAAGTCAGAGGTGATCTACCTCTTTAAGTTATTTGCGGAGGGTTGTGAAACCGAAGTGTACAGAAAGTGTAGACTCCCGCGGCCAGTGTCAGTATTACTGGTCTAATTTTGGGGATTAAAATAAACTTCTACAAGCGTAAGAATAATGAAATGAAATATTGAACAAATTTTAAACAAATATTTTTCATAAATTAATCATTATTTCTAGGACCAAATGTAATGAGATATTACGTGAAAACACTATAATTTCACGGTCAGGCTATCAACCCAGTGAGAAATGTATCAATATCAATAGTTATTATAAATTAGGAATAATATATTTAGTAAAATAATTTTTATACAATTCAATCGTTTGTATAACTCGAAGAATTTCTAATGTTAGCACTTGAACGCACATTATTCTGAAACGCGAAGCGCCCCGTTCAAAAGATGCCAACTGTATTTTCGGTTCAGTGCTGTACTCCCATTGCTGTGACACTCACCTGCGATTCCCCTGCTGCTGTGTGGTGTAAGATCATCTCAAGGTGGAGTAACACCAGTAGGAACCACCTGTAATGTTGGGAAGAACTGTTCAACGCAAGCAAAGATAAGGTTTTATGATGTTTATGTCATATAGTGATCATTAAAGAACGAATTTTCATTTAAAAACATATTTTCATAGGTGCAATACACCTGCATTCATTAAAAGCTTTTAGTGTATGTTTTGTACGAGTTTGCAATTAAATGCTCTAGTTTTCGTCTCTCTGTGAATTTGAGCAGAATAATACCGCGTTTCTCTGAAATATTTTTTTATCAAGAATAGTGCTCAATTACTTCTGTAGAGATCGAACGTTTTCAACCACTTCGACTGCATTTCAATTTCTGATCGGTGATGTTTTGTGTTTGAAAATGTCAAAATTTTCCTATGAGACAACTTTAAGCAATTTTGTGAATCTTATTTTACACATTTTCCATTTTTTCATACATGTTTTTGAACAAATAAGTACATATGTAGGTGCATATTCTGCGTTTGTATTACATGAATATACGTTTCCTAATAATCAGTTATTTAATTTAGAACTTTTTTTACTGCTGCGAGAGTTGTGTTGACGATGCCGCCATTGTGTTGTCTTCGAACTCTGTGATGTCAGAAGACGCAATGACTAAAGACTAATGGGAAGTTGGAGGCTACGTGGCACTGATGGCAGGGGCGGGCGTGGCAACTCCCAGGAACCCCTCCGCGCACGTGTTTCTCCGCCACAAATTCTGCGTGGAGCGATCAGGATTTGAACTCCTGAATGGGAGTATAAGATTGTTACTAGTAAGAATACATTTCATTGTAATATACATACTAGTGAATATAAGAACACATTTTTCCCGAGTTGATTCATGAAAGAAACGTTTTCAAATTAGATTGTGAAACATTCTTGTTCAGGCAATATGATAATAAATTCGAATTTGGAATGAATTAAAGCAACTAAATTATGGTTTGTAAAATAAAACAAACGTTAAGATTTGGGCATTTATGTAGTGAAGCGACAAAACATTTAAAATTTAAACACTCGTACGAATATACCTCGCTTTGCAACCCTTTTTTAAATGAAAATAAGACTAACTCTGAAGTTTAACTGCCCGCAACGTTTTCGAATATAATTTTTGTGTGCAGTTGACTAAAATATGGATACAATATGTGAAACTAATGATGATGTATTCAGGTAAATTACTTGACGTACTCCACAAAGACTAATTTATTTAAAAACTTATATAACCATGATCACAGTACAATTGTTACACGTAAAAATTAAAAGAGTGTTATATCTTCCTGTCAATTTCAATTGTAATTTTCTGCAAGTTAACGCGCTTTAAATGGAAATTGTTTCTTATGTATATTCCCATATGTTAAAGGTCTGAGACTTATTCAGTCATTCATAGAGGGGGTTGAGAGTACTGAGGATTGTTAGCGATGGAAAAAGGTAAATAATAAACGGATATAGGGGGATTATCATTCGATAAGAAAAAACAAACGTTTGAAATATTCAGTTAGCCACAAATTGCACATAAAGTTGCCAGTTCAAAATATGTTTTTTCCAATATTACCAATTAAAAGATCATGACTATAAAAAACTTAGAGAGGAATGATTAAGTGTTGAATTGGTAATTGAATTGAAAAAATACAATTAGCTCATACATTTGCTGGTTGCAACAGTTTTTGTGATGTTTAGACTTACCGTGAATCTGGGAAAGCCATGTCTTTGCTCTTCTTCGGTTTTCGGAGTCGTAGATTGACGTCAACAAAAGTTGATGTCTATGAACATTATTGGAACAATAAAAACCCTGTGTTAAAATATTTAATAAAATGGCAAGAGGTCTATCTGTAATAACTCGGTTGCGAGTACAGCAAAATGAGCTTACTCCCTTTAATTAATAAAATAGAGGTCCGTAGTTTTTCGGTAACGTCGTCGGCCATAAATATCTCCACACAACCCGCACAAATACAATTGAACTCTTACACCACTTAAAATATCACTTTTAGAATTGTCGATGGTGAGGACGTAGAGAAGGGGTCCAGGGCGCGAGGCAGTGGCTCCAGTGAGAACTACTCGTGCGGAGGCGAAGATGAGAAGCCCTCCCTGCAGCCGGGCGCAGATAAGCAAGCGCGACCTTCTGGGATGAGTAAAACGTAAAAAACTAACAGCCTTGTGTTCTGAACGGACAGCGCTTTGATATTTCCTGACCTTTCGGAGTTGCTGATCTATTGATTTGCGAGATGCTTCCTGGTAGAAATGACCCATTGTGCGTAAGCAAAGGAGTGTCCAAAGCTTTCAAGAAGAGAGCCATACTAGTAATCAGTAGAACTGCGGCGGGCCGGAGAGGTAGAGAAGACCTCTTCCACACATGCATGTGCGCAGAGTATTAAAACGGTATTTGCACGATGTAGACGTGGTACGACTATGACTTTGCGGTTGTAGGGTACGAGCCCCTCAAGTAGTAGATTTTCCACGCAAGATCCGTAGTAAGGGGAAATGCCGGGAGAAAAATTCTAGCTTCTCTTTGGTCTGGTCCGTAGTTTCCTTTTGTTTCTCCAATCAATTGCAGACGAATTCTGGAGCAGTACCTCGCAGATAGGGCAAGGGCAGTACGCGAACATTCTATCCTCATTCCTTTGAGTTCCATTCTTTTAATAAAGACATCACAAATGTTGCGATAATCGTCTGGCGGCTTAAGGATGTTCGAGGCTGAAGCGGTGTGCTCTGGGAAGATTCATGGGGGGGGATACTCGCTAGCAGACATATAGATTGGTGTAGGATGTCTCATCGTTCACGATCCTTTTAGCAGGAGAGGAACACCGCCCCCTTGACGTAACGATAAAACGCGCACGGCAGACACAAAAGTAATGACCACAGCATTTGACCGAACTGGAGACACAAAGTAACCAGGAGCTACTTGGCTGTTCTGGATTCGCAACATCCGCGGCACAGTGCCAACGTTTTGGCCACAGTGTGCCACCTTCTTCAGGGAGAAATGCGGCATTTGCGATAAGGTCGCAGATTGGTGGCCAAAATGTTGGCACGTGTATCCCGTTCAGCCAAGGTCGCGGCGTCTCCCGAACAGCTACTGACACCGGCCGCGGATGCCTATGCGCTCACAAAGTATTCGATCATTCCTAGAATGTAATACAATTATTAAGAAAAATTGAGATCTAAAATGAAAGGTGTAATAAATTGTGTTTACTAATTTTATTTTTCACCTACGAGCAAATACGAAAAATTTAAACAGGTTAGTATTGTTTATCATAGACTTGTTCGAATTGGAACTAGCTATGAAACATTTCGATAATATAGCATGGACTACCGATATAGTTTATTCTTCTGAAATATGTGTAACTGCATCAATGCTGGGAGGTCTCATCAGAGAATATTTAATCAAAAAAATCTTGGACCTGAAAGTAATCATCACGGCTGTGGACTTCCTCACGTCTGCAAATTAATTCCCCACGGTAGGAAACGCTTCTTTACATCTTTTAGGTTCTCGCGGTTCGCCGCCAAAATCTTCTCCTTTCCCCCTAAACAACCCCTGATCGGCATTGAAAGCAATAAAAAAATAATTTTAGAATGAATTTCGATACTTATGCACGAACTTTTACCACCGTAATTCTGTACGCTTCATTGTAGCGCAAAACAGAAATGTAGCGAAAAATATTTGAGCAAATACTGTTCCTCAGTGACCTCGATCTTATTTCGAGTTCAATTTTATTTTGTTTTCATGTCTTGTGGTATATTACACCATGTGATTTCTGATTATCTAAGATTGTTCAGGCAGCGAAATAGTCGAAGAAAAGTTGGGAGAGCATTTTGATGGAAATGGCAACGGAACATCGACTCTTCTATCTCAGTAGTTTTTTGCCAGACAAGAGTGTTCTGGAAAAGAGATGACACACAATTGACAAGGATTGTTACTTGCAGAAAAAATTAACGAGTATTGAAGAAGTCGTCACAGTTACCTCTGTCCAAACGAAATTAACCCTTTCCTTACGGATTCCGTGGCCTTTTGCTTCGTGTTTCTACTACATCCAGTGCCTAGCACACTCTCGGTCGCACCTTGAAGACGTTCAAAAGGCTTTTACTCAGCTTTCCGCATTAGCTTGTGGTGACAATTCGAGCAGGCGTCTGCGATAGAAAATTCCTAGTATTTCGACAATGCCAATTTACGCGGGAGCCGCGCCACCAGGAGCTAATAGAAAGAAGTTGACAATCGCCTTCAAGGAACTTTGCACGAAGAAGTGAATGTTTGATCGACAGAGAAGAAGTTCGCGCGGCTTTTTGGAGAAAATTAAGACTCGAAGAAGAAAAAAAAGAATCTCTAAGGCGCCAAGTTTAAAATGTATAATCTTTTCCTCTGAAACGCCTTCAAAGAACATCAAACGCCCTGTTAAAGAAGACAAGGCGCCAAATTCGAAGTAATTTGGCCGGCAATTGTCAACATTATTTCCGCCCCCGAAAGGCATCGAACCGGGTTACGAGTCGTAGGGCCAGAACGCCGTAGAACTGACTGTCACCTTCGACGAGCAGCGAATTGTGCCATCCTGCTCCGAATATGTTTGATTAAGCCGCGAGTTGCAGGGTGTTAACAGTTGCTAGCTCTGACTCCGACAAATATTTACACAGTCGGCCGAAATAAAACATGAAAGCAATGGCTGGTCGAGGGAGTCGAATGCGTTTGTGTGAAATCAAATACTTATTTGCTTTTTTTCGACAGGCGAGATTAGAGAAACTTCGATATAAAGAGTCGGTGTTCTCATGACCGGGTGCAATAAGTAATGAACGAATGGGGCACCGGGCGGTGCCTTGGAAATTCGATAGAGAGAAAAAAAACAAAAGAACTAAGACTGAATGAAACAAAACACGGTTTTCGTGCGAACGAATGCCATCTTCCCGCGTGCTGTGCCAAATTGACGGTGACAATTCAAAGACAAAATAGGAGAATATAAAAAACAACAACACAACGAGTTAAGATATAATTATTACAGCTCGTATCACTGAGCTGATTCACGAGCCTGAAATTCAAAACAAAACAAACATCGTTTGGCGCTGTGAACTTCCAAAACGCATAAGAGAACAAATTATTAAGATTAAGAGTAGAGAAAACAAATGTATTCATCAATGCTTAAATGCACCATAAATAAAACAAAAACAGGTCGACTTTCTGGGCGATTTGTGACGACAACACGAATGAATAGTCAAAGAGAAAGAAAGGAACTCACTACCTCGTGCTGTAATCGATGCAATTTTGTATGTGTGCGTTTTATTACAATTACAACCTCTGTTGTCACCACTCTTGCCCACAGACTAGGGCGTCTAGAGCATGTTATTTTGAAAGGTTTCCTAAATCGGACGTTTTCTTGGCTGGATATTTAAGAATCCTACCTGCAGATAACGATAGGCCTAATTTTCATTAAAATGATCGAGCGTATCATTTTAATTCCGGAAGAGAAGAGTCATAGACGCCCATGTGGGGGTGAGTGGTGAGATTTAAGTTGGCGCTGCAAATAGTGTTTTAGCTAATTCTGTTTTAATCATATGAAACAACAAGGAAATGACAAATAGAAATCGTGGGTGGCTCGGGTAGTCTCAGGTCTCCGGGAGCGCCAAGGCCCGTGGCATTATCTAAGAATTGATATTGTCCCCTGAGGGATCTCATAGATCTCTGCAAGTTTACACAGCAATTCAGAAAGTGTAGTACAATTCTGTATGAGAGAGCGAAGTAAATTCGAAGTAATTTGGCCGGCAATGTTTCAACAAAGATTTATGTCTTCGAATTGTAATGGTAAGTGTCTCCTTCTGTCTTTTTTTCGTTCATATCTTTTTATTCTAATTTTTATCTTTCGTTTTTTAAATGTTTTAACATTTTTACTTGTAATATTTTAACTAGTTTTAAAATTGAGTTATACGTTTTGGCTCTTATATGTGTTATTCAAATTTGTACACTATGTTTGTACTAGATGGACCTTGTCATGTAGATAACTTATAGTATTGCTTCAAATGTTTGTTTTAGAATACGCCATAATATAACAAATATAGTTACAAAACGTTGTATATATTTATCTTATATAAATGATTGCCATAAAATAGAGATGCTGCGCTTTTTATTAGTTTTCTGTACACACATTTCACTCATTAATGCTTTTTTAAATGCACATTTTATTTCATTTTCATGTATCTGGTATAGTGAAACAACATGGTATATTGTCAAAATAAAAATACTTCTTTTATCTGATGTGCAATGAAGCCAGGTACTCACATTATAAGTAACTTCTAAAATATTTGAAATACAGCAAATTGCGAACTACCCTTACTAATTAGGGTAGAATACTTTCAAAATTCAGTAACAGTAGTGGATAACCATAAAAAATACATTTTTCCCATATGTATTTTAATTTGGTTGCCGTTACCAACTTTCCCATTCACAAATAAAGGGACGTTTGCTCGTACTACACCAATCAAGAGCATACAAAAGTCGTTTGTCGATGAGGCCGCAATTCGAATCGGACGATGCGGGACGCAGAGTCCACTTGTCGGGAGCCCATTTGACGTAGCCGGAATCTTCGAGCCGCTGTCCGAGAACCGTCTCGTTACGGTCGGAGCGCCTGCGAAAGCCGATGGCGAACCACTCGTCGTTGACGGCGCCAGTAAAGGAGGGCCTCCGCGCCCAGAACTCGTTGACGACCAGCGCCTCCGCGTCCGAGTCGATGACCAGGAGATGAGCCCCGTCGCCCTGGCACGCGGCAGCCGCCTGCGCCCACGGCCGAGCCACCGTGTACATGCGGTACAGGCTGCAAGACACCACGACCGTTACGCACTTACAACAGGATTGCACATTGGAATGTGTCGTAAAGACCCTCTGCACAGCGCAACACTTTCGTCACTCTCTATTAACTTCTTTCCGGGGCCAAGAGGAATGCACTCGTAGCCCGTGGGCGCCGTGGCCACGTGCGCCTCCAGCGTGAGCTCCGCCCATCCGTTCTCGTCTACCGCTAGTGCCTGTTCTGGGGGCTGAGCGTACCTGGTGACGCGGGGGCCGAGGGGGAGGCGCTCGTAGCCCGCGGGCGCCGTGGCCACGTGCGCCTCCAGCGTGAGCTCCGCCCAGGCGTCCGCGCCGTCGCCGT